GGATTTTGTGGACGTATTAGAGAACAAAGGGTCGGTAACGATAATTTTTCAATCAATTTTCGAGGAAACATTGGGATTTCCTTGGTTTGAGAGCGCTTTTACTTTCTTTGAAAAATTATGCCAGATTCTTTCGAATATTGAAAACCAATCGCCTTTACCTAACGTTCTGCCTTGTTTAAGGGCCGTGAATTTGGTTTAACTATGGGTTTCCGTGGTTCCGTGTGTTACCAAGTGTCACTTTTAGAAAATGGTATCTAGAATCGATTTTTTTTCTTTTTTACTGAATCACTCTCCACTGTTTCAAATCCAAGCGTAAAAGCCACGAAGATACGTAAACTTTGTCATAAGCAATATAGAATGAATTTGCTGTTCAGTAGCTTTCCTTTGAATTTTCACACTGTTTCATTCAAAACTTAAAAATCAAAACCACCTTCATGTGTTCAGCATCGGTATTTTTGGGGGGTAAGAAAATTCAGGCAAGTAGGGATTAAAAAATTAAAACGTCCTCGATTGAAAATTTGTTACTGTTTGACTAAAAGTATATGAAATGGGGTCTGTAAAATTGGCCACAGAATAGACTAGAAAGCAGAAGGGGTTCTGAGTGGTCAGCGGCACATACCCAGAAAAATTGACCCTAGTCCCCCCCCCACTCCTGAGTGGCACACATTGCGGTCAGTTTCGCAAAATTGAAAGCTTGAATCATTGTTTTATAGAACCATGTCGGCTTTCAAGCAATATGTTCAGAACATGGAGGGAAGGCAGTCTTTGAACCAACTGTTAATGTACTTGGAAATCGAACAATACAACGCTATTTTACCTGCAAAAAAAGTCCAGAAAACGCAACATGCAACGCATATTTACAAGTAAGGTTATTGTAAAATATTTTAGTTGGTGGTGTTGTAAAACCTTCTCCAAAATAGTTCCCGAAATCAGTATAGCTCAGAATGATATCGTTATTTTAACGACTAATTCTTTGCTGGATCGACACTAGCACACTTTATGGTGTATTCTTATAAGAAATGTGTAATTATTACTCAACGAGTTGTGATTCCTTTTCTGGCATATATAATTACTGAAGCAACGCCAGAGTCTCATAGAAACACCCTTTATTTTAGCCTTATGTAGCTATAACTCAAAAACGCAGTTTGTGTTATCCATTTTTGAATCGCAGTCTGCATATCGAGTTTTAATCCTTTGCTAACTGGAAAACAATCTGTCAATAAGTTTCAGAGCCGCTGGAGTAGACTATTCATCTTCAGTTTGATGGATAACTTGCTGACATTGTAACATTTAAAATACTCCTAAAAGAAGTGTATTTGTGCTCCATTCTGATTTTTTTCTCCGATTTCTTCCAGAACCTACTTTGATCCCACATCTAGAAGGTAAATGTTGAATAGTTATCTTTCATTATTTCAATCATTAATATATTTGTATAAATCGACTTCTCTCTTATTGATAGTCTTTCTCTGATTCTCGTGGATAGGTCGGTGGGTCTTCCCCAGTCCTTACTCAATCAGGTCGATGGAGAGAGACCCACGTCTCCAGTCTTTACCGCGGCGCAGCAATTCGTGCTTGGTGATGTCCAGACTTACTTCAAAAGTTTTTTCAAGGTAGAATTATGCTTGGCACTTGTGTATAAAGATTTGAAGGATAATGTTATCGGGTAACGCTTTGTAAAGGCTCGATTGCCGACCGCTGTTTCCTCTCCGAACCGAAGATTTGCTTGTGAGAGTCAGACTGCATTCGAGAGATCGTTGGAAATTGAGCCTACCTACGCTTTGCATTAAGCTTTTTGGATCGGAAGAGCAGATCTCCCAACCTATCAGAATTCCACGGTTAATAAGACAGGTTGATCCAATATTTATGGCACATTACTTGGCTTGAGCAGTGTTTTCGTGAAAGACCTTTCTAATAAGTCTTAGAAAGTATACACGCTGGCCCTAGTTAGACAAGTCTCGAATAGGCCGAGTCTAAGTGACTTTTTATTTTGAACCGGGCTCCTCGCTTTGCTCAGTCAGTTTTTTTCATTAGGTATTATTCCAGTAATCCTTAAGCCTAATGACTTAAACTTTCTCACTATTTATGAATAAGTACTTACGTTTTCCCGCCTTGAAGGCCGTGTACATGTATATACTTTGAGCTCTCATTGGCTCTTTGCGATATTTTTGTGCGTTTTGATTGGCTGATGTGACACTCAGTCGTGAAAGTACTTCAGGCGAGGTTCAAACCCTCTCATATACTAATCAACGAGGTACAACTTTGATTTTTTCCCACTGGTGTCCCTTTCAGCATGCGCAGGACACCGCTGGCCGACGAGAAGGTACACCAAACACTCCTGGAAGTTTTAACAAGGGTGACACATTTGAGAGCTCACAGAGTTTCCTTCAGCTTTACAGAAGAAGAGCGAGAAAAAATAAGGTTCGTATACAGAAGAGCGTCTTCTTTCACGTTGGTTGGACAGGGGCTCTCTCTCTCTGCTACATCAAACATCGCCGTAAAATCTCGTCACGTAAAAACCTGGACAAACAAAGCTATTTCGTGCTCAGCGTTTATTTTTATACTCTTAGCATATTGGTAAGCAGAGTGAACGCACTCTACATTATAGTTTATAAGCGGACAGATGTATGTCTACCCAGGTTTGCTTGCCTGCTGCTATGTTCCTTTCTTAGCTGAGGTTCCACTCTATGCAGAACTACCAGTTAAAGTCTCTCAACAGCAAAGTTAGACTACGCGTTGAGATCTACAAGAAAGCTTCAACAGGAGTACTTAGTCATCTAACGAGCGGAATCGTTTTTCCTGCCAGGGCCCGCGTTGGCCGCGCTTTATGTGCCCTATGTGCAGTGTTAGAGTACTTGCAATCTCGCACTGATTTATTTGTCTATTTACCTATTCTATTCTATTATTATTCATTCATTCACGCATTTATTGGATTAAGTTATCTATTGTTATATTAATATTATTTGTATTTTGTATATTTGTATATTTTAGAGCACTGGCCGATCCGCTCCGTCTAAAGAAGACAAAGACAACTTTAAGAAAGTTCTGCAGTCTATACACGGACGTCTTTCGGTAAAAATGGAATATTTTCGGCGATATTTACAGGCCCATGGTGAACCAGACGGCTTTCCTCGCTTAGAGAACGATCTTGTTTTCTATTTGGAAGTTCAGAAGTTCAAGGTAAGAAATTCAAGACACTGTTGCAAAAACAAAGAAAGAGGAAATGCAAAATATGTTTCAATAATAGATTACGATGGATAATTAACAATTATTTGCCAAAGTGAGGGTAGATTAAGGGGGCGAGACGCGACGCATTGAGGTAAATAGCTATTACTTTCAGCCACACCGAGAGTCGAACAATTTAGGTTTTATTATAAACCACACAGAGACCTAAAGAGATAAATTATTTCTGTCAATGTATCGAAAAATGGTCAGAAATTAAACACTTGACGCGCGATTTTGTTCTTCTGCTGCTCAGAGGTGACGGGTACTGGCTAAACGCTTCCGAACTAGCTGATCAGCGCGCGCGAAAAGCATTGACCTGTATGGTGTATACTCAACTTGGATATTTTTAGCGCAAGCATGAGAATTCACAGTTAATTTTTGTTATTATACCGGAAAATGGTCGGAAAATTTCAAAACTTTGACGCACGATTTTGTCTCTTCGACCGCTCGGAGGTGAATAGCACCTGGTAATCGCTTCCAAAGCAGCCAATCAGCGCGTGAGAATAGCACTGTTCACCTGTGTGGTATGTACTAAATTTTAGTGCAAGCTTGAAAATATGATTAAACATTTTGAAAAACTAAATGTAAATCAAAATCATCCACTTTACAGAAGACACCAAATGTGGTTTACAATGAATTCAGTATTGACGCCTGTGATTCAGTTGAGACTTAGAGGAATCGCAGGTTACAAATGTGGGACTGCAAAACATTATGCAAAGCAATTGTGACTCCAAAGCCTGGTCGGCAATCCCATTTGATAAGAGTTTTGCGAGACTGTTTCTATTGGAACAGAGCGTGTGCTTTAATTGCCAGCACGGAAACAACACCACAACATATTGTTTTCTATGATTCATCACTCTACTCCCATTTCGTTTACCATCCCATAGTTTACTGATTTTCTTGAATTTTTTTTATGAAATTTTAATTTTTTCTCTCTTTACATACAGGAATTGTTTAACTACATGGACGATGTAAGTCTTATGAACTGGTTGATTTTCTCAGTAGCTTCTTGCACCCACTTCTGAATGATGGAGTGTTTGCTTTCATATCCTAGGTTTCCCTAAATCGTAAAGTAGAGGCAATCATCGAGTGTTTCTTGGACTCAGCCACCCCTCCCTGGCTACAGGTGAGAACATATCGAATTCTTTGTTTTTGTCGTTGTCGTTTGCCCCCTCCCTCCCCACCCTTCAACAGACGAAACTTGCTTGTTTCCGTCGTGCCCCTCTCATCTTGCGTGACTCGTACTTTGCGCTAGCATCGCGCTTGCCTTTGTTCGAAAACGCAGAAAAAAAAGAAATTGTCTATTCAGCAGGCTAGGCTTAAAATTCACCTAGGAACAAATATCAGTCTGAAATATGTGCTCGTTTAAATTTGCTGGCATGTGCACAAAAAATAAATTATACCGCTTAACTGTTCAGACCGGCATTTAGAGGGATTTCTTTTTCTTTGCGGTAACTTTTCCACGCATCTCTCCACGATTTTAATTTTTCAACACCATTTTCAAATGCCTTTTACTTAATGCTCCATCAAGGATGAAGCCCATTGGAAAATTCATGCTAATTATCTTTAGCAGGAGACCAGGCTTATTATTTTGACGCCATGCATCGTTTCAGTAGCAGGTGTTGTTTCGCATTGTAACGCAACGCGTGACAAGACCACATAATAAAAGAAAAACATTTCAAAGTCAAAGTAAAATTTCATTAGAGTAGCTTGGACTGCCATGGCGCACCATAGAGGGAATTGAGATTAACACATTTTCTGACAAATGAAGCATCCTATTCCTTCAAAAATAAAATGTATTCTCGATGCTCCCGGGAAGAATATGGTTTGAAAGTAAATATTCATTCGACAACATCACTTCATTACTAAAGTAATTTACATGTGGTTAATTTATTACCCATATGGTATCCAACTTTTGCTATCAAGGTGGTCTAAACAATGAAAATATTCTCCGTTACGAGTACTGACTTCGTTTACATGGCAAACCAAATTTTAACCCTGAAACCCCAAGCAACTCCCGCGTCACCGTTTACTTAAGTTGGAATTTCAAACCGTCATAAACCATTTACGAATGGTTTGATGTCAACTCGGAAAGTTGCCGTTAAAAGCGTCTTTAAGAATTAATACGATGAAACATCAACCTTTGTCAGTTTGAAGAGCATTTCATTAGTCTGTAATGAACTGTTTTTACATGGTAATACTCTCTCGCTTAAATTTCAGAAAAATTCATAACTCTAACTAAACTTCGGGTAAAATTTCCTCACAGCCCCATACTACATTACGCATTCAGTTCTTGGATAGAGAAAACAATGACGAAAACAATGGATCGCAAAAAAACAGACAACAACAACAACAAAAAAACAGAAAACTGGGAAAACAAATTTTGTTTTACAATAGTATGGGGTTGTGCGGAAATTTTACCAAACTTCGAAACGTTTCTTGATAAAGTGTTTGGAAATGTTAAGTTTTCATAGTTTTCCTATGAAAAGTTGCTTTAAAACTTTTAATAATTGATGAGCGATAAACCAGAGTGTCACCTTGTGTAAATACTTAAAGTTAATATATGCTAAAAAATTCAGATGAAATGAAACTAAGCTCAAACTTTAATTTAAAGTTATAGCCTTAATTTTTCTATCTCTTCACAACTTCGCAGTGCATCTGTTATTTTGTGGGCCAACGGTTTTTCGTATGGAATTCTCATAAAATCACCATAAGATGATGTCAGAAGTTTCCTCCATTCGCGCGGTGCTGGTAAAGCAAACCCATCGAAATTCACTACAACTAAAGGGAAAATGTCGGTCCGTTTTCTTCTCAACGGTCCGTAGATAAATCTTCGTACGAACCATGAGGAATGACTGAACAGGTTTAAAAAATTGCCATCAGAATCCGTCTCTAGTACCAGCATATCAAGTTGCAAACCATCCGCAAACTTGCAGCCGTTACGAAGACAATACTTATAACAACTCTTGGTGTCGCGAAGTTTCCCCAACATTCCACTTTGAGGCGGAATTTTGTAAAATACATCGGTGTCTTCTGTTTGGAAAAATATATCATCTGGAAGTTCTTTCAGACCGTATTTAACAAACTTTTCAAAGTCTGCTTTAGGGATGCAAATATCTATGTCATCGTCGAAAGGATTGTGGCCGCCATGTCGAATCGCTCCGAGAAGACTGCCTCTAGTTAACCAGTATTTTATACCGTGCTTTTTTGCAATCAGATCAAAGATTCGAAGAATTCTTGTAAGCACTAACTGAGCCTTTCGAAGTGGTGTTGAACCCAACTGACGGATATCTGGGCAGTCAATGTCGCCGTTTGGAGTATTTTGACACTTTCCTAACTTCGTGTATGCGACTGGACGGCGTGAGTCTAATTCCTGCAAGCGAACGCCTCGTTTAGGTAGCGAAGTAATCAAGAGCGATCCCAAAACACATGTACCTATCAACATAATCAATGAGATAAATGCAGGTCGCCTCCATCTACGCTGTGTTGGCCCTCTTCTGATCCATCGCCATAAATTTAGCATGGTTTTGAATTCGAAGTAAAGGAGACCTGCTGATCTCCATGTGAACTCTGACGTCAGAAAAATATTCGTGTGGCACTAGGCGAGGTTACCTGTCAACTTAAAGTCAATTTTGGTACAAATGATTTTTTCACTCATAAAAACTTTCGCAAGCGCTACCAAACCTTACAGATGCCATCCACTAGCTTTGGAGGCCGTGAATATTTTGTCAGGCTAGAAAATCCTTCTTCATATTTCGCAACCTTTTATACTACGAAGCGTCTATGAAAGTATACAACAATTACTGGCCGAAAGCGAAACGAAGATGGATAGGTAATCGCATATGGCCGTGTTAAATACAGGACTTTTCATTGTTTTGTTAGGGTTAATGAATTGTAAAATGCGCGAATTAGCCCTTTTAAAAAACATTCGCCATCCAAGAAAATTATAATACACGACATTAAGCCGTTTTAAGGGTTCTAAATTTAGTAGTTTCCCGGGGGATTTACCAATGTTAAGGAAAAATGTCCTCTGTCCCAGCAAATCAGCATTTAACAATTTTGCCTTCTGGGCTATAACTGACTATCAATATATGTAAATCATGCATGTGAACTACGAATAAAGAAGTGAATATTAAACCGATGTTCGCGGTAATGGACACCACTTGAGCAGAAGTGAAAATAAGGCTTGAAAAAAAGAAATTAAATTAACACTCAATTTCTAAAGTCCACCTTTATGCTCCGTTGGTGTCGACTGATTTCTCTTACCTCCCCCCCTAAAAACTATGTGATCCCCCCTATAAATTCCCCGAACCCCCGACCGCAGGTGATAGAGCAGGTGATCGAGCAGGTGATCGAGCAGGTGATCGAGCAGGTGATCGATTATGAATAGTTCAGTGGCGGATCCAAGGGGAGGGGGCATGGGGGGCCCGTGACCCCCCTTTTTAAAATCCTAGATCCGCCTCTGAGTTGCGTACCCAAACCTTTCACAGCCAAGCGGTTGTTTTAGTGACAGTTACACAGTAAGATCTGGGTACGAGATTAGATTATGGCTGGTTTCTTGTAATCAATAGAAATAGAAAAAAAAGGAAACCCTTTAAAACTCTAAAAACATTCATTCATCTTAATCTGTGAATTTCTTTTTTACAGATTGACATTGGTCCCGAGCTTGCTTCTCGTATTATACACAAGGCCCAGGTCTTTTCGTCGGGGAAGAAAATCCCCAGGGAACAAAAGGAGCCAGGGCTTTTCGACGAGGCTCAAAGCATCTTGTTCAAGGAAATGCTCCCCTATTGGGCAGGATTTTGTAAACAGTACACTCCACCTGAAGATGGGGCAAATGTCAAGTTACCTCGTAAGTGTCTTTTTGAAGAGTGTGGAACTGCGCGTGCGCGGATGCTACTTTTCGAAATCTTCAGAAGCTAAGGAAACGCGTTTTTTCGCCCGCGCGAAGATTTGAGACTAGTTAGGAAGGTTTGCTCGGGGTCTGGCATTAATGATTAGTGCCAGACCTCTTGCAGACCTCTCGCTGGCCAGCGTTTTTCCAGGCGTCATACTTTCCCAAGGGTAAAGAAACGCATATTAACAACGACAGCCTACTGGCAGGCTACTTTTGGGGCCTCCTGATGTCTTCTTTTGTCCTCATATTTTGTCCGATCAAGCTGGTTTTGATTCGTTGTCTTTCTTTCCAGTTATAAAAAATAATGATCATGATAAAATTTCTGATAAATTAATCAAAATATAATCTTCTCTTTTCAGCCACTAAACAAGAGAAACTCCTACAGAAACGCTACGCAGAATTCCTGAAATACCCGGCAGTCACTAAGACTATCACTCTGCCCCTGTTGGTACCTAGTGTACATGGTCAGTCCAAGAGCGAGCTAAGTTTTTCTGTTTCGGACGGAATGAAATGGAAGGTATGCAAGAGACACTGTCTTTTTTATCTAATCAAAGTGCTCTGTGAGCAAACTCGTGAATTGACACATGATTTTTTAG